CTGGGGATGATAAAAAGATTAGCCAGGTTCACCAAACTTTTCATGTGGGGGAATAGTAGGAAATAAGGGTGGACTCAGATTACATAGGGTGTTGCAATGCCAAACTGAGGTGTCTGAATGTCCTCTTGGCAGTGGGAAGTTATAGAACACTCTTAATCGAGAAGAAAAGGTTCACCTTACTGTCTTAGAACTAAACTTACTCTTCCTAACTTGAGGGAAGACACATACGTGACAAAACATAAGAGCAGTGTGGTATAACAGAACATTACATTTGCAATTAGAGAATCTGGATTTGAATCCCAACTCTACTAGTTACCACCACTGTAACCTTGGGCAGTTAGTTACACTTCCATGTCTCTGGAACCCCAAAGGAGAGGGATGAATTAAATGATTTCAAATGTGTCTTCTCAATTCTAAATCCTGTTGTCCTGTTTTAAGTGAGAATGAAGGTATGAGAGATATATCTGTTCCAGCTATCCAAACCGCAAAGGTTTAGGGCAAGCGATATAGAGGCTCAGATACTAGGAACAAGATTTGTGTCTTTGGATATAATTTACTACATGCCATTATCACTGCTTTCTGGTCCTGTGGGAACCTTGCCAGCACACAGGATCTCTTGAGAAACAACCTTTCTACCTTGTCTACATAGAAAGGGACTACAGCACCTTATGCCTCAGACTGCCCTTACTCCAGAAAACTGGGAACCTTAAACCTCTTTCGTCCCTGGCTCCAAATATGTAAAGTGTAATTTGCATATAAATAATACTTCTATTAGTTTGTTTTTAAAACAATCCTGAAATCCATCAGAAACTCCAACACACCCTGAACGCTAGTTTGGAGATACTTGTTCAAATCTGGACTTACAAGAAATGGAGATAATAATACTGAACAAGAACAACAAAAAAATAACTTAGAAAATGAAAATTCTCCCATGATAAAAAAAAATTTATATCTACCTAGTATCATGGATTAATAAACCTCTGGCAAAATATGATAAGTTCATTTCAGTTATTTATGGAAAGGTGCCTTGATGTGCCAATTCTAAATCAAAGTCTTAACATGGTTTCTATTTTGACCACATGAATCTTAAGAGGACAACTGGAAGATTTAAACAAGTTCCAATCCAGTTTAGCATTCTAGAAAAAGAGGAATTGGGAAAGAAATACTTCATCTTGAATAATTCCTGCAAGAAAACACTGCTGAATGCTTTAGTCCTTTTACACTTTGACAGGGATTAACTTAATGGTCTCATACATTGATTGTCCCTGAATTACAGTCATTCTATTCAATGCAGCATGCAGCTGTACATCATCATACTGTACTGCAAAATATCAATCTTCTTAGAACATGGCTCTAATGAAAGGAGTATGCTTTACAGAACTAGCAACAAGATAAATAAATGTACTGGAAAAAACACCTTTAAATTAAAATCAAAAGAGACATTTCAAGTTTGGGCATTCTTCATTATGGGAAAGAATTTTCCACTTTGAGACTATTATATATCAAAAAAAGCTCCATCTGTTGTATAATTATCTCTGATAAACGGTATGATGCTTTGAGCTTCATTAGATAGAAGGGAAGAAAGAGACACAGAGAGAACTGTAAATAAATCTCACCACTATATTTCACTTAGTGCCAGCCCAGCAGGAAGTTATAGTGAATTTTTATTTTAAAAAAAAAGGTAGTATTTTCCAAATGCTTTATTAAAAGAAGCTACCTCATTTGCCAAATATCTGGTCCCTTGGACTGGGCACAGACATATTTAACATCTTTCTCATATACTTGTCTTGAATTTCAACATCAATAAAAAGAACAAAACCTGGTTTAGCCCAATGATGACAACGTTAATTTTCCAGGAGAAAAGTCTGGGTTTGTTACACAGAACTGAAGACTTCTAGCCAGTGAAGCCCAACACGATGCCCAAGACCTGGGAAGAACCTGCCAAGGACAAGTTATAATATAACCACCACCATCATCACCACCATTTATATAGTGCTTACTATGTGCCAGACACTGTGCTAACTACTTTACAATTATCATCTCATTTGATCCCCTCAACAACCCTGGGAAGCAGGTGCTATTACTACCCTCATTTTACATATGAGAAAACTGAGACAGAAGTCGATTGACTTGTCTGGGGTCACACAGCTAGTTAAGGCCAGATTTGAACTCTGGTCTTTCTTACTGCAGGCTTAGCGCTTTACCTACTGTGACACCTAGCTTCCTCAACTTTTGCAAGAGAAAGATCCTGTAAAGAACAATCAGAAAACAGGTCCTATAGAAACAACAATAAATTTCACTACTCGAATTAATTCAATTTCGACCACTGTGACCAAACCCTACTATTAAGCACCTATTATGTGCCAGGTACTGTGATGAAGTAGCTTAGTGAAGATGGTCCAAAGCAACATTTTCTAATCAAAGCTTAATAATAATTAATAAATTTTCCCATAACATTTTGGTAGTGTTCACATCCATTTTAATCTTCTTGGTGGCTGTTTTTATACTGTGCTTATCTTATCTGTTTGACTACACTGTAAGATGATTTCAGTAGTCTTAAAGTACCCAATACTCCAAATACTCTAAAAAGTCTTTACTTTACAGACAGTACTTAATATTCCAAATAAATGCTTAACTAGCTTTGCAGAAAATGAGACAAGAACAAATGCTACCTACTCATGACTAAAGGTGATCAGACAATTTCGATTTATATCATTTTCCCTTTTCCAAACATCTCATTGGAATATTTTAAGAACAATTTGGTTACTTCCTTCTATGGGGTTGTGTTAAGAGCCAACTCTACCTGCAAATCATAAGCTTTCAGTAAAAATTCTGTAGGTAGGAGAGAGGTAGTAAACCTAAATTTGTGTTTTGTTTGCTCTACCTTGCGTACTATTTTATTTTTTATAAAAATGTTACCAGAAATGGTAAGTGGTTCCCCTCCCCAAACATTTGAAGTGTTAAAATTTTGAAACATTTGTTATTTTTGCAGGTGCTGTACTAAGGGCAAAAATATTTAAGACACCCCTTCTGGGGAAAGAAGTGCAAAGGAAGGTTGAGAGGGCAGAAGAGACAGTATCATCTTGGGTTTTTCTGGTTTTGAATTTTTATTAGTTTGATTTACCTGACCTTCAAAAAACAGACATTTCAAAAAATCCTCTCACTGCTTTCTCTACTGTCAATGCTTTTATTCCTCCTCATTCTGCATTATTTGCAAGATAGAATTAATGTATACTTGTTTTCTCACTACTTCCTTTCAAATTCTTTTCAATATACTCACAAAACAAAAAGTCACTAGGCAAACCCAGAGACCCTCTCATCAGAAGTGATTCGTGAACATTATACACACTCTAAACAAAATTCAGTGCTTTTGCTTACATGTAATTTTAATTAATCTAGAGTTATGGCAGACCAGAAATCACTACCTAACTTTGAAGTCTCCAGTACCCATCAGTATCCAGTATGAAGCTATGAGACACATTTACCACTACAAAATACTCAAAATGGAATGTGCAATCTGGTTAATCCTTTAAAAATTTGACTAATTCCTCATTGTTCACCTATTCATAAAGAATACTTTCAAAACTGGAACCAAGAGTTCTGATAAGTATGGGTTGGATCATACACAGGTTCCAAGGTTCCTTCCCACCCTTAGATTCTATGATACCAGTCACCCAGTTTTTTAGCCCATTAACATTTCTGCTCTAACACTGTACGTGACTTGTTCTGTTGCCATTAAGCTTATTCATCTCAGTTTTGCCCAGCCTACATCCCTTTCAAACAGTTTTTGTTGTTTAGCCTTTGTTCAGTTGTGTCCAACTTTCAGTAACCCCATTTGAGATTTTCTTGGCAGAGGAACTGGAGTGATTTGCCATTTCCTTCTCCTAGATAATTTTACAGATGAGGAACTGAGGCAAACAAGATTAAGTGACTTGCCCAGGGTCACACTGCTATTAAGTGTCGGAGGCTGTATTTGAATTCAGGTCTTTCTGATTCCAGGTTCAGTGCTCTATCCTAGTCCACTACCCACTCCTTTACTACTCACCTCTACTATATCCCATGACACACCTATTCTGTTGTTAAATTTTCCACATATTCCTTTCTATCGGAAAGTGAGCTTTCCCATGAATGCACTTCTACTGCAACCCACTCCATCTCAAAATCTCTCTACCTTTACCCATCTTTTCCTCCTTCTCTAATGTCCTTTTGTTAGCTATATTACCCCTCCATTTTTACTCCAGAGGCTCTTTCTTAACCTCCTCTGGGAGGCCCCAGTAATTGCAATCCTTATAATGAGAGTTGACATTTACATATGGCTTTAAAATTTACGATGTGCATTTACATCCATTATTTCATTTGAGCCTCACAGTATGCCTAATGACGAAAGAAGTAACTCTAGGCCTTTCCCCCCATTTTACAGACAAGAAGACTGAGGGTTGAGATGAAGAGAACTGCCCGTGGTCACCCAGTTAAAAGGCAGAAGAAGTAATCAAACTTTCATTTCTTGACACCAGGTCTAGGGTTCTTCCCACTCCATGAAGCTGCCCTTTTCTCACAAATACATTGTCAACATTTCCCTCTCTACTAGTTTTTTCTTTAGTTCTAGAAACACACGCTCAGCTCTGCTTTACGCTAAATACAACCATAACAACAAACACAAACCCTTCTTTAACTTGCCTCCTCAAACCAGAGAGATGTTCTCTAGATGGCCAGTAAGACCTTGGCACAGGTCACTTAACCTCTCGGTGTTCTGGGCAAATCCAAATCTATAAGGCGCCACTTGTACTGGGGGAGGGAATGTCCTCATCTACTCCTAACCCTCTCTCTCCCCACTCTCTCAACTCCTTTATAATTGCCAGATTTCTTGGACTAGTTTTCTTCTCTTTCTCTTCAATCAAAGAGTTATTGTATTTCAATTTGGACCTGGGTATCAAAGGAGGAAAAAGTACTGATCATAGGCTATCTCCACCCTTCTCCAACTTCAGGATATAGGGACTTACACTCCTCTTTGCCTGTGGAAGTTACATTCAATTCTGTCGAAAGCTGTTGCTGGCTGGAGTTAACAGTCGGTGTAGGTAAAGAGGTATTGCTGTTGTCACTGTTCATTTCTCCGGAAAACAAATCTGACTGGCTGTTGCTTGTACTGGGAGTGGAGTCATCATCTGGTTGTTTCTTCTGAAAATCTAAAGAGAGGAAAAGAAGAAGTTGAGAAAATGGTGTTAATTCAGAGGACCAATGGAGTACACCTCCCTCCTCCTCTTGGCAGAGAGATGATGGACTACAGATGTGGAATAAAATATACCCAATCAGACAGGTTAATATGTTGCTTTGTTGACTATGTATATTTTTTGTTACAAGGGTAGAATATATCAGGAAGCAAAAATAATGTTTTATAAAAGCATCAACAAAATATTTTTTAAAATAGTCAACAAGTACTGTTGTAGATGCACTGGGGGACAAAAGACACTGATAACTGAGTCTTTGAGCTCCTCAGAGAACTTTCACTTTAGTGTAAAGAAACAGTCTATATGGGGCTAGAGAAAAATACACAAAAGGCTGGGGAATCATACATAAAGTAGAAAAAGAAAAGACACAGAAGGAAGTCCTGAAATCTGAATGGGTCTACACCTCATATAAGTAGGAAATTAAGGACTGGAGCTAGTTTGTTTTCGTAATGGAAGATCATTATACACACCACTACCACCACAAACCCTTACCTTCCCATTTATTACAGAGACAGAGAGTGGTTAATGTCAAAAGAAATAATATATGTAAAGCACCTAGTAAACCTTAATGCCCTACGTAAATGCTATTACTACTATTATTATCATGTAAAGCCTTCCTTCCCTAGTTCATCACACAGACACCTATGTGCCTTTCTTAGCATAAGCTCTTAAAGAGTAATTTTAAAGCTGAAAAGAATACTGGGTGTGCCTGGTGAGGAAAAAGTAGAATGTTATATAGAATTCTGGTACTTGGCTTGCAGGGTCTTCAATCTCAAGCCTACACATTCCTTGCCACCTAACTGACAATCTCCAACAGCATAAGCCAAGGTGAAGTGGCCTGTTGCATTTGTAAGTTACCATGGCATGAAATAAAAGGCAACTAGGTAGAACCACAGTGCATGGAGAGCCAGGACTGAAGACAGGAAGACTCATCTTCCTGAGTTCAAATCTGAGCTCAGACATTGTGTGACCCTGAGCAAATCACTTAATTCCATTTGTCTTAGTTTCCTCACCTGTAAAATGAGCTGGAGAAGGAAACAGCAAGCTGCTCCAGTATCTTTGCCAAGAAAACCCCAAATGGAGTCACAAAGAATTGCACACGACTGAAATGAATGAACAACAACTGCTTGAAATCCCACGGCTGCTTCCTTCATATGCAACTTCTGCTCTTAGCCTTTTTCTTCCTGCTATTCTCCCTCCTGAATATTTTCCACTGTTGTGACATTTCAAAAATGTTCATTATGTCAGGTATTCAGAAGTACCTCAAGTTTTTCTGAGAAAAGCTACCATATAAATGGAATAAAAATACTGTGATGATTATGCTTCCTCGAGTTTGTCACATCATTACCTTGCTTCAACCTTATGTCAATAATCCTTTTGCCCCTCCCATAACAATCTAAGGTATTTAACGCAATAAGATTTCAAAGAACAGTGGCTGAGTCATAGTTGTACTATGTAATCTTCATCTTCCCTTACAGTATCACACACTTAGTAGGGTTCATACAGCCTTAATTCAAGAAATATTAAGAGGAATTAATATGGGTGCTAGGAATACAAATACAAAAATGACACTATATTCAATAAGTTTACTGTATTCTACTGCAAGAATACAATATGTACAGAGACAAGTAAAAAACAAGATCAATAACGATAATAATCTTTAATAAAATAATTTAATAAGCACTAACAACTAGGGCTGAGGGAAGTTAGCCTTGAATGAAAGTAGGGATTCTGAGCCATAGAATGGAAGAAGTACTTTCCAGGCACAGAGGACCACCTGTGCAAAGGTATGAAGAAGCAAGCTAGAATGGTGAGTTTCGGGAATGACTAGTTGGACAATTTTACTGGAATGTAATGTATGTGATGGGGAATAATATGAAATAAGGCTGGAAAAGTAGCTTGGAATTAGAATGAGGGGCACTTAAAATATCAAACTGGGTAGTTTATACTTTATTCAAGAGTAAATAAGCCACAAAAGATTTCTGAGCAGGAGATAGTATTGTTAGATCTGCAACCTAAGAACATTAATCTGGTATTGATATGGAACATAGACTGGAGAGGAAAGGAGCTGGAAACAGGGAAATCAATTAGGTCACTGTAGTAACAATCGAGATTAAAGATGATATGGATTGTAAGTATAGTAGAGGCTGTATAAGTAGAGAGACGGGGACTGATACAAAAGATGGATTGAAGTGATATAGACTTAGATAAGGTTTGGTAACTAACTGAAGATGGCTGATGAGGGAGAGGGAGGTTTAAAGGATGACCCTGAGTTTTATTACAAACTCTGGCAACTCCTAAAGGAAGACAGTGCCTTCAACAGAAACAGGGAAATCAGGATGAGATTTGCAGACATACTCTATATTGGACATACTGAATTTGAAGTGTCTATGCAACATCCTGATGGAAATATCTATCAGGTACAACAGGTTGGTCTCAAGTAGCTGGGGATGTGGTACAAAAGTTCAAAGGAGAGACTAGGTTTGGATATAAAGATATGATAGGCAAATAGAAAGTACAACAATCAAAAAACAATTGAAAGTAAATATTTCAAAATTACAAAAAAACAAGCATAGCCCTAAGGAAGAGACATGAAAAAGCACCCTCCTCTTCTTCCCTACTTTGTAGAGGTGATAAATCCATAGGTTGTCTATATTTTCAGATTTTTTTCAATGTATTGATTGGTTTTGCTGATTTTTTTTCGTTATATAAGATGTATCTCTGATAGGGGAAGGGATAAAGCAGAAAAATTAGGAGATATAAAAATAAGATATTAATAAATTGTATTTAAAAAGAAAGACTGGAAGTCATATGTGTAAGGATAAATCAGTCTATTTGGAGAGCTAATGAGATCATCAAGCAAGCAGAGAGAAAAGATGAGCCTTGAGGACAACTATGTTTGGGCAAGCGCTAGATGATACAAAGAAGACTTTTGTTGTTCAGTCATTTCAGTCATCAGGTGCTCTTTTGTGACCCTATCTGGGGTTTTCTTGGCAAAGATATTGTGGTTTGCCATTTCCTTCTCAACTTTATTGGTATAGATGAGGAAACTGAAGGAGAGAGGGTTAAGTGACTTGCTTAGGGTCACACAACTAGTAAGTGTCTGAGGCCAGATTTGAACTCAGGAAGCTGAGTCCTCCTGACTTCAGACCTGGCATCTATCCACTATGCCACCTAGCTGCCCACAAAGAAGACTAAGAAGTAGCAATTAAAGGTAGGAAGAGAACCACTAGAAAGATATGTAATGAAAATCAAACTAAAATAATATTCAAGAGGTAGGAATAATCAACAATATCAAAAGCTGCACAGAGGACAAGAATATGATGAAGACAGAATTTGAAAGAGATTGTTGGTAAAGCTGGAGAGAGCAGAGCTTCAGTGATCATCTCTGCCTGTAGGTGTAAGGCAAAATGAAAAGGTCATGGGAGTTGAATTGGCTAATGAAATGACTGAGAGATCGTCAATGCATATAATGAAGTCTCTGAATAAGGCGGCAGGAATTGGGAAGAAGACCATGAAAGCCAGAAATTGAATACCTTGAGAATGACATGGAGGCCAGTAGTTGATTGCAACAACAACCTATGCTGGGTGATCTAGACTTATGGAGTTAACTTCCAAAAAAGGAGAAGTGGCTGAGTAATGGTAGCAAGGGAATGGTCTGGAAGTAGCAGTGATGAATGAAGAGAATGTTCATTTCTCCTTCTGATCCAGTTGTGGAGGGGAGAGGATGCTGAGGAAGAGGAGGAGAAAAGAAGAGAGAAGTGTATGGCGTACAGCCAGGGCCGGAGGTATCAGAGAGTGCCAGAAGAATGTGTGTGAAATTAACATAAAAAGAATAAAAGGGAGTTTTTATTAATTGGGGGGTAGAGGGACCCCCAAAAAGATGGTTGAGACCTCCAACCTCCAGGGTCTTAGAATGGCTAAGCATGGCTCTGAATGGCGCTGGGGCACTCCAAATATGAAAGAAACTGCGGGTTGAGTTCAATCTGGTGTCCAGTCCAGTTGTCTGGCCTGGACTAAACAGGGCTAGGTCTGTGATCTCATACCAAATACCCAAAAACGAGACCCCCCCCCCCCGAATACCCAGCATGTAGAATAAGCAGTCAGCTCCTAATGTCAGAGTCCCTGGAAGGGCTGATTCTTTTGGTGCCTCGGATAATAAATCGACTTTCTGATGTAGTTGCTCAAGATTTCGGTTGGCTGTCTTTTATCTTATTCATTGCAGGTTCTCTAATGAAAATGGTAAGGATACAGAACAGGAGGAACATAGTTAACACTCTTCAAATACTATTACAGAATTTTGAAGAGCAAAAACTGTTTCCACGGTCACAGAGTGACTCAAAGCTCTGAGCACCAGCATAATGAAGTCATTCAATTTGATCCAAATATTTATTAAGTGCCTAGTATGTATATACAAGGCACTCTACTAGGCACCTGGGATACAGAAATGAAAAATGAGATTCTGTGCCTCCAAGTAATTTAAAGGGGAAACCAAGTTGGAAGGGACTTCTAAAATTATCTAGTCCAACTCACTTCAATTTATGGATGAAGAATTAAGACCAAAGAAGATCTGTACAAACCCACAAAAATTTGAGCCCACATCCTTTGACTCCAAATCTAAATCTTTTTCCATTGTACTCCACTATGACATATACACTAATATGGCACAGAACAGAAGGTGAAATTGGCAAAGGAGAAAAGCAAAATGTTTTTAGAAATTCTGAAGAAGCAATCATGTTTTGTTGGTGGTGATCTCAGAAAGCACCATTGAAAATGATGGGTAGCTGGGCCTTGAAGGAAAAATACTGCCAGTTTAGTGCTCTAGGCACATGGGAACTGCCTGAATAAATGCAGTGAAGTGGGAGAGGGCAGTGTAAGATACTGAGTAGTCTATACAGATGAGAGGTTTGGACTAGATCAAGGGTTCTCAGTCATTTTTGTATCATGGATCCCTTAGG